GCATACTAACTCTTGGATAAGGAAGGAAAGTAATCAGAGGAAACAAGCCTGGTAAAACAGGGGATACAGGCTTCAGATGGATGATTTGACTGAGTTAGGACTTAGCTCATGCTCTCTTTGTGTGATCACTGTTTTTCGCTTGGAACACCTTCTGTCCCTAGCAAGTCTAGCAAGCGTTAGCCCAGGGTTGGGCTTTTGAGCAACCCTTGATGTATCTCTCTAGCTCATTTATTAAAGCTGTTGCATATGGAAAATAGTTAATATCTTACTACTTTCACATATGAATAGGAATTTTTTTTTTTGAGACGGAGTCTCACTCTGTTGCCCAGGCTGGAGTGCAGTGGCACCGTCTCAGCTCACTGCAACCTCCACTTCCCAGGTTCAAGCGTTTCCCCTGCCTCAGCCTCCCAAGTAGCTGGGATTACAGGCGTGCACCATCACCCAGCTAATTTTTTGCATTTTTAGTAGAGACAGGGTTTTACTAGGTTGGCCAGGCTGGTCTCAAACTCCAAACCTCAGTTGATCCGCCTGCCTCAGCCTCCCAAAGTGCTAGTATTACAGGTGTGAGCCACCACGCCCAGCCATGAATAGGAATTTGAACGTGTGGCTAAGAGTAGTGCCAGCTAGGATCTTGCATATCCTGCTTTAACTAATAGATATGATAATATAGGATTAATAATATCATTTTCATAAGAAGGTATGCCACTGTCCTTTAAATATCTCCTTGGCAGCTTAAACACGCCATTAGACAATATTTACTATAGTAATATACTTTCTTTTTTTAAAATTCATAGATAGGAATAAACTTCAACTCACTGGAATGATTACAAATTCAGAATATTAATAAACACCAAGTTTGAGTGTTTCCTTAAACATAAAATTCAAGCTTGCATGAATGACGTGACCTCTACACAGAAGAGAGTTACCATAGCAAGCCTGAGCCTGCCGGCTTCAAAAAGGCCTGCTTGCAGGGTTGGCCCTTCAGAAACTGGGCTTCCTGAAAGTTTTCTATGCTCATTAAGTCTAGGGCACCAAGTCCTGTTGTATCAGATCACAGAGATTATGCAAACGATGTGAGTTATGGCAAACACCTGGCTTCCTTCTGTGAATCTGGAATTTTGGCCGTAGGCATACACGGAAGATGCCTACATGACCAGCCTCCAGTAAAACCCTTTGGTGCCGGCCAGGCAAGGTGGCTCATGCCTGTAGTCCCAGCACTTTGGGAGGCTGAGGCAGGTGGATCACTTGAGGCCAGGAGTCAGAGACCAGCCTGACCAACATGGTGAAACCCTGTCTCTACTAAAAACACAAAAATTAGCTGGGCCTGGTGGCACGCGCCTGCAGTCCCAGCTACTCTGGAGGCCGAGGCAGGAGAA